CCGCCAAAAATTTTTTAACACAAGAAACGGCAAAGAATGTGCTTTATAATAGTGTTTGTTTCATGTTGAAACTCTATGTATCAATTGGGTTTTTTCGATGGTGAAGTTAGGTCAAATTTGCCATTTTTGAAGAGAGCCGAAATTGTGTTTTTTCTTGCGGCCGACACAGTCACATTTAAACAGCTTATCTGAAGATAATTGCTGAATTATAAAGCACAAGTCTGGGTTTGCTTTGTGACTTGATTTCTTTGAGAGATATCATCCCGTTTTTATGTACGAGCGCGAAGAAAATGCCTAATTTTCGCTAATTTCATACTCAAAAGAGCGCCGATTTAGCGTTTTTCAAACTTTGCCCGATTCAGGAAAAAATAAAAAGCCGTTACAAGTTTTAATGTGATTTTTGAAATAAGTGTACTATAGAGATTATTTGGGCAAAATATTAAGAAATTCAAAAATTCACGACTGTCAACCGATTTTCGAAAATTACGGACATTGGCTCTTAAAAAGTGGAGTCACTTTGGCCATTTTCCAATCGTTTGGATGTATCCCAGTGAGAATAGACTTTGAGAATATTGAGGTAAGAGAGGGTGCGACGATATTAGCAGCCATTTCCAACAATTTACTCAGAATCATATCAAGACCGGTGGCTTTCTCTTCATCAATTTTCGACAAAACGTTAGAAACAATATCAATACTAGGAATTTGCAGAGAAAACGAATGATCAGTGGGCTCTAAATAAGACTCAGGATTAGCATCGATAGCAGGAATATCTTGTGCTAATACTTGTGCAACGCTTGTAAAGTGATCGTTAATAGTTTCCGCAATGTCCATAGGGTTACTTGCTATTTTATTATCTACCTTGATCTCCAAAATATTCGTTGACTTACCACTGTTACGTGAAGTTAGCTCGTTGATAACATTCCATGTTTTGCGCAAATTACCTTTGTTGACTTCCAGGTTGTCAGAAACATAGAGTTTTTTTGCGAGGTTAATTGCGTTATTTGCCTGGTTTCTTGCACACCTAAATTGATCCCATATAGCCGGGTTATTGGAGGAGATTGCCTTCTTTTTGAGGAAATCTCGTTTTCGGATTTTGCTCAGTAACTCTCTAGTAATCCATGGAGATCGTTTTTTTCGAATTCTTTTGGGTTTAAGTGGTACGTGTTTATCGACGCAGCCAAGAAACATTTCTTTCAATACACGCCACATTTCATTGGGATCAGAATACAAATCAACATTGGCCCAAGGTAGCTGATTGAGGTCACTTAAGAATTTCCCTCCGTTAAAGTGTTTAAATTGCCGTTTTTTCAATCACGCGAGGGCCAGTACGGCAGTATTGAGTCTTACGTGACAAAAAAAACAAGAGAATGATCACTTATGCCAAGGTGAATGACACCGGAATTTGTAACCTTCTCTGGGGAGTTCGTTATGCATAAATCAATTAATGTTTTTGAGTCCGGGGTGACACGTGTTGGTTCAGTGATTAACTAACTAAGACCATATATATCGAAAATGTTTATCACATGGGAAGAATTAACTGTAATTGCTTCAGGCCACAAATTACAGTTGATATTACCGATTAAATATAATTCCTTATTTTTCCGCGTCAATTTCAGCAATAACATTCTCAAATTCGCTTAATAGATTGGGTGGAGAACTTGGGGGTCGATACAAAGTACCGACCAGAAATGGTGTACTTCGTGGCTTACTGATTTCAACGAAAAAATTCTCTAAAAGATCATTATTTAAATCATTACGTATTCGATAGTTCAGATTAGTGCGTACGTATGTACATACTCCACCTCCATTCCCTCCGTTAATTTTACGATCTTTTCTGACTATTTCAAAGCCAGGTATGTAAACTTCGTCATCACTTACTGTAGAGTCTAATTTTGACTCGTTGATATGTAAAATATCAACTTTTGAAGAAGACATAAGAACTCTAAGTTCGTCAATATGAGACAACAGACTATTAATGTTAAGGGACGCTATGGCTAAACCTCGACCAAAGATTGTGGGACAGTTGGACTTCCCGTGGTCGGTACCCTTAAGGACATTAGCCGAGTCGGATTCCCAGACGGCAATATCTTAGTCTACACGTAAATGGTTAATGAAATTTTGAGCTAGGCGCGTGGTGCCTTTCTTGTTTAAATGAAGACCACTTCGATTTAAGTGGCTAGTTATTCAAAATGTTAGAGAGGTCAACAAAACCCCAGTTCTTTTGCTTGCAGCATTCCTTAAAGAACTTTGTTCACGTCAGGTACTTTACATTCAAGGGCTTCATCAGATCTATTGATGAGACCGGATATAGATATCATAGCTGAAGATTCAGAGCTGACTGCTTCGGCTATGATCACACAAAAATTTGCGTTTGTCCGATCGATCCTGTGATCGCAGTAAAACAAAGAGCAAACGCGCATAACTTTGTAGCGTCTCAAGAGGCTATAGTTGCACTCGGCTGCGCCTCGTGCAACTCTTACGCCTCTTTCGTGCTCTCCAAACTTCCCGGGTGCTCAATATCTCGACATACGCACGCTGACGCATGAACTAATTGTTAAGTATACCAGCTAGACGAGATGAAATCCCATCAAACAAGAGTGGTTATGTAGATAAGCAAACGAGGTAGAATGGAGCTACTTTTTGAAGAGAGCTAGACAACTTTCCTAAACAGTTGGTTAGAGTCTTTCTGATTTCTTAATTACCTACGAAAACGTGACGTAGTGACTTAATCCCCAACAGCGGCTGGTAATCGAGCTTAATTAATAGAGCGTTCAACGGCAAGAATACGTCGAGTAGTACTATTAAATTAAGATTTTTGTGTGATAAGTATGAGGAATTTATAGTCTCCCGCACAGCCGTTTTTGGCAAAGTAAGTGGCTGAGATCAGAAGCGAATCTTAATGTGTTTACCTTTTTTGGGGTGTTTTACATTACAAAGTCGATGCTTATCTTGTCATTTCAAGACATTTGGGGTTCTTAAATTAGTTGCATGCTAAAAGTTATAAACCCTCTCAGTATTCAAGCATAGCATAAGCAGCTCACGGAGCCTTACGGAGAAGAGTAGCAGACACGAAGAGGGTAAATATGAATAACACTACAGAGACTACATCGATCGTCGGGGCATGTAGCACTGGGATAAACGTTTCGGCGTTAAAAATTGGGCAAACCATTGGTTATAATCTGATCCTTGTTGTTTCACTGGCTGGGAATTCTGCCATTGGAGTGATTGTTTATAAAACGCTAAGCCTGCGGAAACCCGTAAATTACTTGATCATGAACATGGCCATGTCCGACCTGATACTCCCGTTTATCACGGTTCCTTGGTTCCTAGTACGTCTTAATGCATCTACTGCTGGTCATTGGCATATTGGCGGCCCTCTTGGCCAAGCTTTGTGCAAGCTTGTAGTTTACTTACCGATGGTTTCCTACAGTGTGTCGAGTCAGAGCTTAGTTCTGATAGCAGTAGATCGCTTTGTAGCCGTGGTGTTCCCACTTCGTTCCCCAGTCATTGGTCGCAAATTGTTTCCCTTCGTCATTACCGCCACATGGATCATTGCTTTGGCTTTTCATTCGCCGTGGTTCAACAGCACGAAAGTAGATGAATTCAACGGAGGCAGTATCTGTTTCACGTTCTCTGGCGGAATTACGTCCTGGCACATTGCCGCATCCATCATAAATTACATCATTATCGTCATCATTATTGTCCTGCTGGTGATTTTGTACTCCATCATCGTCATCAAGCTCAAACTACAGGCACGTCCAGGTGAACAGTCGAGTAATGCTGAGAAAAAGCGCGCAAGAAGAAACAGGAAAGTATTAAGAATGGCATGTGCTATCGTGTTAGCATTTTCACTCTGTTATGTACCCATGCTCACTATTGGTTTTATGTCCCTCTTTCCCAAGATCATGTCTATTTGCGGTTTTTATATATTTGTTTCTTTTGCCACATTCATGTATCACGTAAACTGTGCTGTCAACCCGATTATTTGCCTTATTTTTAGCAGTAATTCTCGCCAAGGTCTCAAGAGACTTTTGAAATGCTAAGGACAACTAAAGTGAATGGGCAGTATATAATGGGCACGTCAGAAAAGTCGACTACCATTGAGAACGTTGTCCCAATCCACGGTAACATTACAGTGAAATTTGACTCAAGTATTAAAGAAAGAAGGAAAGAAAGAAAGAAAGAAAGAAAGAAAGAAAGAAAGAAAGAAAGAAAGAAAGAAAGAAAGAAAGAAAGAAAGAAAGAAAGAAAGAAAGAAAGAAAGAAAGAAAGAAAGAAAGAAAGAAAGAAAGAAAGAAAGAAAGAAAGAAAGAAAGAAAGAAAGAAAGAAAGAAAGAAAGGAAGAGTGTTTTGGAGGTAGCACATCCACAAAGTGGTTCTTCGTCTACCTGATTCCTGGTCGAATTGGAATTTCTTGGGACGCTTTAACGTTGTATTTAGCCCGCGTCAGATAACTAATAGATATATGTCAAGTTTTAATCAAAAAAGCGCAGCATAAAAGCAAACTAGTATATGGAAATTTGAATAAATTGATATTTCAGTTTGCTTTAATTGATATTCATTCATGCTTAAGAAATAAAAAGTATACTTTGTACCTTTGAATGAACATTATAAGTTCATTTTGGATTGCAATTTATAGAATGTTAAAAGGTCTAATAGACTAAACATGAAATCAATAAACTGAAATAAAAAACCTTTCAGTAGTTGTCAATTGTAATAATCGGTCACTACAGTATGGGCTCTAATATCTGGAAACGTGTCTTGCCATGTTCAAAACGTTTGCGTGTGCGTCTAATTTATATCGGCCTCTAACCAACAACAATAGCAAAGCGTGAAAAACACGCTCCTTGTGAGGTGTAGAATCGAGGCGCCTATTGGGTAAAAAAGCTCCCGTGAACGATTTTGGAAGAAGAGTTCCCGGTGCCAAGAAATACGGCTGCAAGTAGAATAGGTAATGGCGTCATCTCATTGCCATGACAACTCCAATATCATTGTAACCCTGATTATATCAAATTTTCATCTTTATCTAACACAGCTGTGGTGGTAATTTTTGCAAATCTTTGTTAATGGGGACGTAGTTTATGCTCAAACTTGGGAGGTATTGACCCTGAAAAACCCTATCGAGCCACCTTTAAAGGAGTAGTTCTGCGTCGGTGGTTCGAACGAAACCGACAAAAAAAATTAGTTTGTTAAATGCAACGATAAATACAATTCACTACATGAAGGAATTTAAAACCTTAAATTATGAACTCTATTTAAAACTTGGCGGCAATTTGAATTTGGGTTAAAAGCATGAGCCTAGGATCGAATATCAATTTTTCTGTTACCTAAACAATCTGACAGTAAAATTTAGTACCCCCTTTGCTGATAACGTTCTGTCAGGCAAAAGGTGGTCATTGTAAATCATTCGTATAATAAGTTAATGTTTGTAGTTCTAATTTTTTTTAATGCCAAATTCAAGACGGGAAGCCATTTGAGCTAGTGGATATTTCTATTCACCTTTGAAAAAAATTGAATTTTTAGAAAAAGTAACACGCTTTTTTTATTTCAAAATGATTTATGTTTCACCTGACCACATGAAGACGTGCCACGGTTGGCATATAGTCGCAAAGAAAGCTAACACCATGGAAAAGCAGCTTGTTTAATAACGCTAGCAATACTACCCAGGAATAGTGACTTTATGAAAGTGTCAAAAGAAATTCAATTGGGCTAGACTTCTTTTACTATTAGTAATTTCTTAATTCCACTTTATAACTGATGCACCATCCCAAGTTGCTCCACTTATGCGTTTATTGTTTTACTGTCCCTCGTGGGTGATAAGTTCATTCGCCCGCCCGCAGCAAAGCACTCACAACAATGAAAACGGGTTACTTTACTTCGTAGACAACGCAAGGGGTTGTTAGATTGAGGTGACGCGATTAAAGCGCCTTCTAAAAATAGATTATGAAACAACCCCTTTAACTTTTTTCCGTGACAATGTGAACGAAAATCACTTTGTCAAAGAAAGAGAATAGACAAGCTGTGGTGGTGTAG